CAAGCCTAGCTTTATATTTAACTACTTTACCCAGTTCATTATGTTTTATTGAAAAAACCCATTTGCAATCAACTATATTTTTATTTTCTGGTTTTGGTACAAGAGACCATGTTTTATTATAAATATGAGAATCAAGCTCTTCTTTAATAGCTTCCTCCCAATGTAATCTATCATTTCTATATTTGATTTCATTAAATGAATTCGGAGTGCTATTAACAAATGCCTGTGCATTCATCATGCAATTTTTGAAAAATAAGTCATTTTCTTTGTATGACATCTGTGGCCGCTGTTTCAATCTTTCACTTTTTCTAACATTAAATTCTGAGATTTGCAACTGACTATTGTTTTTATTTGCATCCTTTACAGTTTCATCAGTATTAACTGGACCTGCATTGTTTTCACTTGATATGAGACCACTAGGCTGTTTATCTGACTTTAATTGATCAGATTTCCTTTCCGTACTCTCATTCGGGAAAATTGAATTAATTTCTTCCTTACTCTCATTCGGGAAAATTGAATTAATTTCTTCCGTACTCTCATTCGGGAAAACTGAATTAATTTCTTCCGTACTCTCATTCGGGAAAACTGAATTAATTTCTTCCGTACTCTCATTCGGGAAATTTTTATTAGAGTCATTTAATTGTACTCTGTCTTTTACTACAGTCCTAGAATTTATCATATTTGTCTCATCAGCAATAATATCTCTTGCTGTCACAAATTTCCCAGCTTCCACATCCCATAATTTATACCCATTTGGTTCATATCCGACAAGTATACCTTTCCATGATTTTTCATCAAATTTTCGTTTTCTTGTTTTTATATGTACATATACTGTTGAACCAAATACTTTTAAATACTTCAAATCAGGCTTTCTATTATGCCACATTTCGTATGGTGTTTTCATACCGTCTTTCAATGCTTTACTTGGACTTCTATTAATTAAATATGTTGCTGTTAAAACAGCTTCACCCCAGAAAGTTTTATCTAGTTTTGCTCCACTTATCATAGCACGAGCTTTCTCTGTAATCGTCCTTATCATGCGTTCAGACACACCATTTAACTGTGGGGTATGTGGAACTGTTAAGTGATAACTAATGCCTTTTTGAACACAATAGTCTCGCATCTCTTTTGACAAATATTCTCTACCATTGTCAATATACAAATTCACAACTTTTAAGTTGAAATGAGTTTCACTTTTTGTGATGAAGTCTTTAAAAATGGCAAAAACATCAGATTTAAAAGTCATTAAGTAACTAACACAGTAATGTGTATATTGATCAACAAAAACTATATAATAGTTTTTTTCATCGAGTGTAGAAGGTGTGATCGGACCACAGACATCTGAGTGAACCACAAATAAAGGTCTTCTAATATAATCCTTATTTTTATTCTTTTTAAAACATAATCTAGTTTGTTTACCATTTATACAGGCCTCACATAGTTCATTACCTGGCTGTACATCTTTCAATAGACTAGTATCACTAAACATTTTTTTGTTTTTTATTTCTAAAAATTTTGTTCTGCTAACATGTCCTAATCTTTCATGCCACAATTGATAATTACTATTTAGAATAGACTTAAATGCACAAACTTTTTTATACAGTGTAAACTTAACAATTGGTACATTATTTACACACTTATCAAAAATAATTACTTTACCGTTTTTCTTTACTTCAACACCTCCTGGCTTAAATTGTATAGTCATCCCAGCATCTTGCATTTTCTTAATTGAGAGTAAGTTGTGCGGAACATTTTCACAGAACAAAACATCTTCCAAAGTAAGGCTATTTTGAAAATTGTTGCACAGTTTCACTATACCTTTTTTAGTTGCATAAATATACTCTCCACATTTTGCGATTGTTATTTGAACCGGGAAAACCAAGTTGATGTAATCCTCAAACAAACTGTCATTATTTATTATATGATCAGACGCCCCAGAGTCCAAAAGAAATGACACATTTTTGTCTTCAGCAATTTTAGTATTTTTGCTTATCATAAACGCAAAGCCTTTACCTGCTGGAACTTCTGCAATATTCGCTACTTTCTCATTTTCAGAACTTTTATTTAGTAGCCTTTTGTACACATAACAGTCCTTCTTGATGTGACCTTTTTTTCCACAGTGATGACATTTTATCATCATTTTAGAACGGTTTTTAAAGGTTTTAAATTTGTTTCTGTTTTTAAAATAATTTGTATTTATTTTATTTTTATAACTTTCATTTTTGCACACCGCTTGTAAAATTTTTGTGCTAGTCTCTTTAGATTCACTTTTTAATTTTATCTCATGATCAAATAACCGATTTTTTACAAATGCTAGCGTTAAATTATCTTCGGATAATGTCTCAATGGCAGTTATAATTCCATCATAAGATGATGGCAGTGTTAATAGTAAATGAGACACTTTGTCCATTTCGTCAATTTTAGCCCCCGAAGCTAATAACTCACTTATTAAATCATCAAAAATGTTAAAATGGTTTACTAACGGGAAATCCCCTTTTAATTTTAAAGACAATAGTTTTTTTCTCACTGCTAATTGCGATGCTAAGCTTTTTCGCTCGTATATTGCATCTAGGTTTTTAAAAATTTGTTTTGCAGTACATTCAGTACTAGCAAAACTTAGAAACGAGTCACTTAAATATTCGATTATTACACTTTTAGCACTTCTTTCGGTTTTATTCCATTCTTCTGTAATTGTTTCTGGAATGTCACCATCGATTACTTTTAAGGCATCATTTTCTGCTAATAGTGCTCTTATTCTGAATTTCCATATAGAATATTTTTCACCATCAAATGGTTTAATGTTTCTTTTTATTTTGTCCATATTCACGCAGTGTAATGCGTGCTTGGCACATAACCTGTTAGAATTATTTTATATTTATGTAAAAGAAAACACCGACAATTTATATATATATATATATTTATTAATATGTATTTATTATTCATTCAAACACAACCCGTCACTTCAATGTTCAAAATTATACTAAACTCTAAAAGGCATTATTCGCCTCAATATGCTCGTATGCTCTTTACACAATAAGCAAATTCCAGGAACAGGCAACAACAGCAACGCATACGAGACATGACGCCCGTCTGCCTGTTGCGATCAGTGACTTCCTTGAAATTGAATCTACGTGATCAATGCATTTTGTTATTGTGGCAAAACTATAGAAACAAAGTACAGTTCTATTCAGTGACTGTATGTCCAACAATATAAAATAAAATTTAATTTAATTTAATACTTTAATAAATATTAAATACTTTGCAATTAAATGATGAGAAAAATTACCGTATGAATTTATTTAATGATTGAATTCATGGCTGCACTTATGTGTACTGATTTTAGTTTTATTTTTAAATTCAAATTTCTTTTACTCTATATAAAGTTTTTAATTTAAAACCAATTATTTTTTTCAGATGTAACTTGTGTTCTAATGGTTCCATTAACAATAAAACATTACTAAAAGGTAATATTTTAATTACAAATTGTTAAAGCTCTAAGTTTAGTATTAAAGTATTAGTATTATTTTTTAATTTTTTTTATTTTCTATACATTTGTTTCAACAAAAAAAAAAAAAATATGTGTAATATAAGGTTATTGTCTTAAATTATCGTAACAATAAGAATTAAGTAGCAATATAAATATTTCCTCCTTTGTTACTATAAAGCAATTTTCTCCTTCAGTTGTAGTTTATCATTTATTTTTTATTTTATTGGCAAAAAAATGAACATTAATATTTTTAGTTTTTATATATATATTTATTTTTCATAAGTGTAATTCTATATATTTTATACAAATGCTATAAATTAATATAATTATATAATAAATATATATTAAAATTAGTTCTAATGTGATGAGATTAATTGGTCCGTGTTTATGAATTTATATTGATTTTTATCCTTCCAATTACTGATTATTACTAAATACAATATATACTAGCAGTAATTTTAAACACCATTGAAATATACTAAACAGTTTTAATTTTTTGCAGGAAACATATAAGTAATGTGGGGATCAAATCAGATATAATTTTAATCAAAGGTAAGCTTTGAAATTAATCACAATTTTTATTTAAAATTAGATTTATATATATATAGGTATATTTAAAAAAAAATAAAAATTAATAAATGATGAAATTAATTGGTCCGTGTTTATGAATTTATATTGATTTTAATATTTCCAATTACTGACTACTTTTAAAATTTATATTCAATTAATTTATAATTTATTTCTATTAAATAAATAATTGATTTTATTCTTATTTTAGATGCGCTATCAATTAAGACTGCTATGAAGAATTGGAACACTTATTCAATTCCATATATGGTATTTTTGTTTGAAAAAATGAATTCAACTCGCTTTTTGAAAAAATTTATTTTTTAATAAAATGCATTCTTTATTTTAAGTACATATATATTTAAAAATTTAGTTTTATGGTACGTTAATTTTTTTGTTTTTGGTATATTTTTATTTATAAAATTTTTTATTAGTTGTTGGATTTTGTTAATTTTTTTTGCTAGTTTTTTTTCTATTTTTTCCAGTTTATTTTTTTTTAGATTAAAAACTTAACTTCTATATATACAAAAATATATTTAATACACATTAGTTTGTTTGTTATTTATTTTGAACAAAAATTCATATATGGAATGAATATATGAGTGTGATTAGTTATCGTGTATTCAGGTAATTATTAAATTAAAATTAATTAATATCTTCATTAAATTATGATATAATTATCTAATTTAATATTTTTATGATGATACATTTAATTTATGTCTTCTTTTCCCGACATATATAATTTTGATGATGTTAACTAATCTGAACTATTATTTTATTTGATTTTATAACAAATAATATTTCAACTAATAAAATAATATTTTTGCTTTTACAGGTAAGCTGTGGTGTTTGGTGAATTTCCCGAAAACCGGATTTTTATATTTAATATTTATTTATTTTTTATAATTACAATATATATGTATACGTATATATACAAAATGAATAAAAAAAAACGAATGGAAAAAAATATCTATATGTTTTAATTTCAACCCTAATCATATCCGAGCTGATTTGCTCCTCTGGAAATAACGTTAAACATCAGAATAATTTCTCCATATGATTCCACTGCTAAACCTAGAAAAAAAAACAATTAAACAATAATTAACAATATTTTAACTTTAACTTACCATTTATATTGGCATCAAGTAAAATTCTTGGATTCTTTAATTCAGGATTTTTTCCAGTAATCCAGCTTGTCATTTGTGAAACAAGATTGGTACATTTTGGTATTAGTATTGGCGCTGTAATTCTACGTGCACTATTCGAACCAAATATAGGTACATGAGCGCGGCTGTAACCTAAAACTGTTTCAACACCCCAGCGAGTTTTACCATAAATTATTACTATAATTTGAGGCCCTTAAAAGAAAATATACTATTTAATATACTATATACTATATAAATGAATATTAGAAGTTAAATTTCGTTTATTTAACTTAAAAGTTAAGTAAGTTAATTGCTTAGCGATATTAGTAAACCAAGGATTGGGTTAAGTTTAAGTTACCCTGTTAGGCCATAAACCATGCAGATCTATGCAAAAGTTCCTAATGACACTAGAGAGAACGAAATATTGCGATTATAGTAATTGTCTTTTGTTTGGTTACGGTGACATGTCAGCATATATCCTTCCACTTTACATAATTGGTAACTATTTGCCGTCTTACGACCGCATTCGTCGTAAAAATCCTAAAGAGATAAAAACTATTTCCATACCGTTTATTTAACGGATTATTCCTTTACCGAGGAATAATCCGACAAACTGAAAAAAAAAATATTTCTCTAAAAATCGGATGTTGCCAAAGGTCTAGGCTAGACAGTATCATAGGATGTGCTTTATAGTTCCAATCTTTAAGTTTTTTTTTTATAAAAAACGAATACAGAAAAATAATATTAAAATATGTTCTGTATTTAGTTTACCTATGTCTATAAATAATTTAAAAATGTATCAAGAGCGAACATTATTAAGATTTCTAAAATTCTTTTATCAAAGAAAACAAACTTGTATTTACATAAACTTTATTGTTTGCTTAACCGTGGCTTGATAACATAAAAATATATTAAATAAAGAAAATATTAACGAACATATCGACGATTTCTATCATTATTTTGATTTCTAAATTAATTGAGTTAGATGTTTTTTTTTTTAATATTAAAAGAATACAGTTGACGTATCTGATGAAAAGTAGAAGGATAGATTAAAGTTAGTAACTAAGACTTCCGTTTGGAGAAGATAACTACAATTATAAGGTTTCTACTGAACTATGTTTTGTGGAACAGAACATACGCCTTACCAATGTGGGCTTAAATGTCTCTCGTTGATATCAAACAGGGTCAGGAGAGATATTCTTATATCACAAAGAATGTAACTAAATGGTTCACCTTCTGTAACGCAGAGAAAACATACGAAGGCTCATATAGACTCGTCTTATTGAAATAATACCACAAGTTAAGATGTTCTGCCAGATAATCAGTTTATTTCAAAAACCATTTCCCTTCTAAAAAAATTCTATAATTCTATAAGACTTTACCTTCGAATTATGCATTCCACTATTACAACTATAATCTATATTATGTGAATATCCAATATGAATATGAAATATTTCTACTTGAATATCACATTCACGAACAAGAAAAAGAAAATGGCTTTGGTTAATATACTTACATCCATGAGGACTTGTACTTTTGAATGTTATTTCGATTGGCATATTCAGTACGATTTTGTCATTGTAGTGGCCACATTTGTTTGAAGCCGTCTGCGTTATACCATTTTGACAACCAGACACCAATTCCCAATCGGCACCAGCAACCACTTCGTAGCGGCAAAATATTTCATCAGCATCTGGACCCATTGGAAATATTGCAGATTCCAATTGCCCAGATATAAAAATATTGATAGTGCTTGCAGTCGTAGGTGATTCCATATTTTTAACTTGATAACTGAATAAATATCAAAATTAAAGTTATTTGTTTTGAAAAAAAAAACAAAGAAAAAGTAATATGCAAAATTCTGTGAATTTATTTTCTGAAGATTTCGTTCCTTTTAAAAATAACAGACATCAGTTTATAGTGAATTTTCAGAATTTTATTTGTTATTAAATGGAATGCGCATTATACCGTATTTATTGGCGCCATCCTTTATCATGATTCTTAGAAATAATTATTAGAACAAAGTGGTTTCTCTGCAGCGCGACATTTTTGTAATTTCGCGTTAATTTGTTATATATGTATATAGATATTTATATGTAAAAAACCGTATATTATTTTTTAAGTATTATTATTAATTAAATGATAATACTGGTCATGTTTCAAAGAAATCAGGAAAAAACAATCCTATTAGAATTTTAGGTTATGAGATTAAAATAACGTTGTTTTTCTTATTAAAATATTTATTACAAATGCAATATTGTTTAATTAAAATAAAAATAAACATTAAAAATATCTTATTGGTCGATATATAAGGAAAATAATTATCTTCAGTTTAAAGTAATTTCAAATATCAGTAAGTGCACAATAGCTTAATGTGATATAAACTACAAAAAACAAGGTTAAGTTTGGTTGGAGTGTCGGCTTTGTGTCCAAAGCGCAGTTGGGCCCAAATACTGGCCCACTGTTGCGCTCAGGATTCTAAAGTGGACACTGACATATTAGGTGGCGCAGAGTTTTCTTCTCAACATAAAAAACAAAGTACAAAAAATATCAGTGATTACTTTGAAATACAATGATGAAATCGGCGTAGAAAATAATATTGAAAAATGCCTTCGATTAGAAATGTTTCCAATTATTAATCACAACAATATATATTTTTACCTATGGCATTATGTTTATAAACTTATTAAAGAAAAAGTATATAATATATAAACAATAATAATTTCTATATATAATAATAATTAAAAACTATTTCAATAATTTAATTATTAATTTGTTCCACTGTATTCGGTTAACAAACTTTCTACTTCGGCACTTCAAAATTTCAAGTCATTTGAAGAGTTTCTATTTTGTTTCAGTTGACTACACATGTCAATTTAATGTATTATTTGTTTTGTAATAAATATCCTGTAATTTAAATTAAAAACAGTTAGTAATTACTAAAAATACTTACAATTAATTAATAAAAAAATGTTTATATGTATTATGAACGAATAATTTATTGAGGCAACTGTTTTAAACAAAGCGCAGAGTTTACAACCATCACAAAAATATGATGTGTAGTGTTTAATAATTATGATATTTTTACGCGAGTTTTAAAATCTATAAAAAACAGATTTCAGAAGCGTTTCTGCATAATAATTCAAAATGTTTTAAATCTACTGTACAATGATAGGTATAATGCAGTAATTAAAAAAATTGTTTATTACTAAACTGTAATTATTTATATTAAATTGCTTTAGTAGCGTTTGTTTAAGTGTAATTTTTTTATAGCCCATTCACACAGGCCAACTAATTGTTTTATGCTCATATCGATAGTTCAAATCAATTCGTTAAACATAAATAAAATTGAACATAAAATTATGAATATTTCTACAGAAACAAGTTTAAATTTCTAGTTCACAATAGTACAATTGTGTAGCGTTATTATAAATAATTCACTTTTGCTTAAAATTTTACTATATAATAATAATTATCATTTAATTGTAAATTTAAAATTATGCTCACATATTCAGAAATTTCACATAGTCTACTTAAAATTTTATTTTATTATAATTTAATATTTTACTGATAATTTATTTATACATTCGCTACAAGAAATTGTGTTTGTATATAATTTATAGATAAATTATCTGTAAATTTTTTTAATTCTCAAAAATTGTTTTATACAGCACTTTTATGTATTCACAGAAATATTGCAATATAGAATATTACGAACAACAACTAATATATAAAAAACGACAACTAATTGAACGTTGTTGTGCTTTTTTTTTAATTTTATATATAAAATAAAAATATGAAAATCGTTTTCTACGATGAATTTTTTTATAATCACAAAAATTTTATAAAATAATATTTTAAAACAACAAATAATATAAATAAAAAGACAGCAATTAAATAACGTTATTTTTTTTAAATTCATGTGTGAAATAAAAATATAAAAGTTGTTTTTACACAACTTTTAAAATAATAACTAATATAAAAAATAACAACTAATAGAACGTTGTTTTTTTTTTAATTTATGTATGAAATAAAAATTTAAAAATTGTTTTATACACCACTTTTTGCTTTCGCAAAAATACTATGAAATTCAGAGTGGGTAACTCTAAATTATATAAATTGAACAATTGTGAGGTGAGTTTTCAAATATGAGAGAGCGAATAATTTGTTTGTTATGAGTGGAAAAGTTATTTACGAAGAGAGTGAGCCAAACAAAACAGGTGTAATAAGAGAATATCTCAGCCACAAGTTTCATTGTATTAACGTCTTTTGTTTGATTCGAACGTCTTGGCGTAATTGTCGGAATATTATATTGTGGAAAAAGGCAATCTCTTTTTTTTTAGTTTTGCGAGAGATTTGCTTTCGGTACAGACGTTAATATTATATACTCGAATTTAATCGTAGCAAGTAAAGAAAAAGATAGTGTTAATTTATATTTGTGTACATTGTTTAATAATTTGTATATGTAACTGACGTACGAGTTTGTTAATGCGTTGGTGATTTTTTTTTATTAATAAAATATTTAAAAAAAATTATATTGATTATTAAGTTTTTATTGATGAGCATATATTGTTGATTGAAACTTGTTTCTTAGATGGCAGTTAAAAGAAAAAAATAAAATGATGTGTATATTTAGTGAAGATGGAAATTTAACAAATACTGTACAGTAAGCAACAACATACAGCATCCATCAAGTTATAGGAATTGTACACATGACTATATTTATGGTTACGGCATCATCGTCAGTTCCTAAAGTAGCCAACACCAGATTTCTCTGCACTTAAAACAGTTTCCCAAGTTAACGCAAAAACAAAAAAAAACAAAAAGCAAATGAAAATTAACTGATGTTTTTTTGCAACTCAGTAGAAGTTGCTGTGAATGCTTGCAACCGCAATACCCAGAAGCTAACATAGACACTTGTTAACGACAACAATAACAAAAATAACAATAACAACAGCAATAGCAGCAGCGCAGCGATAAAAACAAAAACAAAGAAAAAAAAGAATACCAACAATAACAGGAGCTAAAATCGTTGCCAAGAATAAATACAACAAAACCAATAACAACATTCCAGGAGTGTGTGTGTATAAGCTGAATAACATATTTGTGTTTTATGCTAACAGTTTTTTCATACGTAAAATCGCAAAGCTACCAAACG